TTTTTAGAGAATGTGGAAGAGAGAGGGAAAAACAGAGAGAAATATCAGGGTGAGAGAAACACCTTGATTGCTTGCCTCCTGCATGAGCCCTGATCTGGGTCCAGGCCAGGGAGGAGTCTGCAACCTAGGTACATGCCCTTAGTCAGAATTGAACCCAGACCCAGCAGTGGGCAGGCCGAGGCATTATCAACTGAGCAAAACCAGCTAGAAAAGGATATGACATTTCTTAACCCTCCAGCAGCAGACCTCACTTTTTTTCTTCAGGAGTGTGCTAAAAAACCCTAGATCACCTATTTGGATTCTTCTTACCCAAGTTACTAAAAATATTACCAGTTGCATACAGGGAGCTTAGCCAATGAGCGGTCAGAGAAGGTGTTTCCTCTGTAGTTCATGCCAATCGCAAGCTTGGCACCCCCAGCCCAGGCCTGACGCCTCTGGCCCAGGCTTCAGGTCTGGGAAGTGGACCCCTATATCCCTCGATCACTGGCTCTGCCCTCGCTCAGGCCTGATGCCTTGGCCAAAGAAGTCGACCCCCATCACCCACCAATCATCTGATCGGCCCCTTGCCCAGGCCTGACGCCTCCACCAGAGGTGTCAGGCCTGGGCAGGGGACACCCATCTCCGTCCCATGGCCGGCTCCACCCTCGCCCAGGCATGATGCATCAGCCAGAGGCATCAGGCCTGTACAGGGGACTCCCAGACCCCTCCGATTGCCGGATCTGCCCCCGGCCCAGGCTTGACGCCTCTGGCCCAGGCATCAGGCCTGGAATAGGACCCCAATCTCCCTCCAATTGCCAGATAGGCCTCTTGCCCAGGCCTGATACCTTGACCAGAGACATCGACCCCCATGACCCTCCAATTGTCGGATCGTCCTCCACCAGAGGTGTCAGGCCTGGGCAGGGGACTGCCATCTCCCCCAAATCACCGGCTTCTGGGGCTTCTAGGGCCTGCCTGCGGCCTGACGAGCGGCAGGCAGGTGGCTTCTGGGGTCGCACACGGGGGCCGGAATGGCAGCTCTTGCGCTGGCAGCTGCACTGTCCCACCCTGAGTGCAGTATGCAAATTAGACACCATCTTTGTTGGTGGTTAATTTGCATATCGTGCTGGTTAGCCGATGGGAGGCGTAGCGAAGGTACAGTCAATTATCATGTTTGTCTATTATCACGTATTATTACCATAGAATGTGGCCTACATACACTTCAATAATGGGCTAATTAAAATAAGCATCTGAGTAAGACACCTGCCCATACAGCTATAGACATTTCTGTTCATCTTCACCTTTCTGAACTGGATAATTCCACCAGGAGGTATTTGCCACAAGGTCAACATCAAAATTAAACCCTGACTTGATCTACTTTTGTCTTTATCTCCTTGTCAATATACCTCATTATTTTTCTTCCTCCTCTTTGGCTCTAAGCTCCCTAATTTTTCAGGCAGGGTTTACACATGGCAGGGTTTATACATGGCAGGGTTCTTTTAGAAGAGAGAAACTATTGTTAAAATCTTCATCAACCTATGGCTAACCTCTGCAAACGCCATCCTCACCTGAAAACTTGGATTCCTGTTGCACAGACGACAATAATAACATGAAGTATACACAATACAGTATCTTAGTGAAGACTGTGGTGAAGAGGATGAGCATGAGAATATATAGGGTCGGTGTCTCTCATATTTGAAATCTTGGTGCCCCCACCCTCTAGGCCCACTTCCTCAGGTGTACATTGCACTAATGGACAACCCTAGATAAAGTCAGAAGTTCATTCCAATTCACAAAGCTGGAGAATTCTTGCATAAATTAAGGAACCACATCAATGTACCAAAAATGATCTTGGCCTACTCCTGTTTTCAGTTGGCTATACCTGCTTCTTAGTTCAATCTTCTTTATTGCTTCCTAGTGTCAGAGCCTGCCTGAGTGGAAAGGAGACAGATTTGCAATGTTGTAGAAAACTTCAGCATATTCCATTTTCATAAGGAGAACCTAGGATTAACAAAATGCCCCCAGGAATATTCATCCCTTTAGCATTGTGCCTTCTTAAGCTCAAGGCCTTCCACAGGATGTAACATTTTCCATGTTGCTCATTTATAAAGAGCATCAATTTGTACACTCCTGGGGCATTTTAAAATGAAGTCATTAATACAGTCATAGGATTACATTGTGGGATTGAAAAAAGATGTCCATCATCTCACTTGAAAT